CCTGGCCACTGCATCGGCTTGACTTTGGGCACAGAGCTCACTGTTATCTGATAGGCTTTCTACTCAACTACTCCCTTTTGAAATAAGTAGTGGAGTATGCAGCCATACAGTTTTGTTTATCTTTATTAATATGGGTGATCAGAATTTGTTCAATGTTAGTAGCAAAGAACCAGCTAAAAACAAAGCCCAGTCTACAGGTTTCAAATTCTGACTTAACAAGATGGGTATTTCAGATAAGACTGTTCTTGTGGCTATAAGGGAAAAGTATTAGAATAAAATTAACATGCCATTTTGAGTTGTATGTTATTCTGTCATGATATTCTGAGGGGGAAAATGATCTCTGAGATATACAGTGTTCCAGAGATAAAATTACCGATGTCACTTGCTCACTCACTGACAAGAACAGGATGCTGCAGGGTCTGAACCACATGACAGTGACTGAATGTGTGCATTCAGTCTGCCTGTGCATTCTCCTTCCCTACTGTGAGGACATGTGAGTCAGAAGCATGGAGCCAGAGAGGTGAAACGACAGTCCTACACTTGGAAGGAATACCTCTGTGAGCTGTGATCACATGAGTTTGAGAGATGAAGTGAGGTGGAGAATCGCACTGTCAAGAGATGGATGATACTGTTTAAAGCAGAATATGGTACTTCTTTAGCCCTCAGAGTCTAACAAAGTGAATCCCATCATACTGCTCTGGGGTAGGAGGAGGTATTTTTGCTGAAATTAGTCAAAATAGTCTCTCAAAAGCTCTTACGGAAGTAATATTTCTGAATGCATTGGTCTTAAAAACCAGGCAACACATGTCTATGGGTAAGCATCAGTTATTTTTTTAAATCTCCCACTTAAAAAAAAAATCACTAAGCCTCAAGTCACTTTCATGTCTTACTCTATGACACTGGAAGCTGACTTCAGGAGGACCCATCTCCAGATGGCACCTTGGACTCAAAGGAGGTGCTGAGGCAATGCTCCACTGTTGAACTCAACACTTTCTATGTAGAAATGTGAGCACTATCACAGCAAATGGCCCAGGATCACCCCAGTGACTAGGAAACAATTATGAGAAAATAAGCCTGAGGTTATGACTCTGCTCATGCCTGTTACCCAGATACTTGGGAAAATAGCCACTTTAACATGGAGTATATGAGAACGATGGTGCTGGTGTGTGGTCACTCCACCTTCCTTAGAAATGGTTTCCACTGCCTCCCGTGTTCACTAGCCAATGGATCCTCTTGTGGAACCGTGTTAATGAGTCCAGTTGAATAAAGTCCCCAGAAGATGAAGAATGTAAGTCTAATGATAGAAGCCATAAGCTGACCCCAGGGAGAATAACATATCTAATCATGGAGATGGGTCAGCACAGCAATGTCGCCTGAATGCACACCTGGTCATGATAACAGGGTGGGCAGTGGCTTAGACTTCCTTCTTTTTTTCCCGTTATTATATTATTATTTTTAAATGTATTTATTGTTTTATTAATTACAGTTTATTCACTTTGTATCCCAGCTGTAGTCCCCTCCCTTAATCCCCTCCCAATCCCACCCTCCCTCCCTCTTCTCCTCCCATGCCCCTCCCCCAGTCCACTGACAGGGGAGGTCCTCCTCCCCTTCCCTCTGATCCTAGTCTATCAGGTCTCATTAGAACTGGCTGCATTGTCTTCCTCTATGGCCTGGTAAGGTTGCTATCCCCTTAGGGGGAGGTGATCAAAGAGCAGGCCACTGAGTTCATTTCAGAGACAGCCCCTGTTCCCATTACTAGGGAACCATCTTAGAGACTGAGCTGCCACAGGCTACATCTGTGCAGGGGTTCTAGGTTATCTCCATGAATGGTCTTTGGTTGGACTATCATAGACTTCCTTCTTGGTAGTGCTTAGGCTGTGCTTCCAGCTCAAGTAAGGACTGTCAAAGAGGCTGATGGGAATACCTGGACCACAGGGAAACTTAATGGTTCTAGCTGCTAAGCAAGTAGAGTGCATTCAGTGAGAAACGATTAGTCAATTTCAGATGACCAACCACCTTTGTGCTAAAGCCTTATGTGGAGGCAGAGTAGCCACAGTATTTGGAACTGCTTCAGTTCTTCTAGAAGGGCACTGATCCTACCACGGGGACCACCCTTAAGATCTCACTAAGTCTAGTTTCCTCCCCCTGGTCTTTACTCCCAGTATTATCACATACAGTGTTAGGTTCTCACTGTAGGTGTGATGGGGAATTCAAATCCAGGCTATAGGAATCAGCCCTGAAATAATGTGCCCACCTGGGACTGTTCTTGTCAAGGGTGGTTTAGTGGTTGCTGGCAAATCTTGCACTGAGGAGATTTTTAAAATGCTTTATTATGGTGTTTTTTGTTTTTTTTTTTTTTGTTTTTGTTTTTTTTTTTTTTTTTTTTTTTGCTGTGACCTAACAATGTACCAGAGAGGGACCTAGCTTTGGGCTGGAGATGACCTTCAGTATTCATATCAGAATATAACTAGTGAGTGTTGACTTGAGGGTGATTGCCAGAGAGGTTCAGGAGGTTAGATGTGGGTAGAAGAGCCAGGTAAATGTGTTAGAGAACATGCTTCGGTCTCCATGAGTCACAGAATAACATAGCGTACCATCCTGGCCTAGCCAGTGACACCCTTTCCCCCACTCTGTAACTCCTTCAATGGAAATGGAAATGTCAGGGTAGAAGGAAGAGCTGGATCACTTCCAGAGACTAATTTAAGGCCCACTCCTTACCCAATGAGCTACCCTCCTATGAATGAAAGAGCTTGCATTTCAGGACTTGCTTCATCTTCTAGGAATTTGTTTATCAAGCTCCAAAATTGGCAGATTAGACACAGTGATGTGAGGGATTTCTCAACGAAATGTAACTTATATCTAAGTGTGCTCAGTGCCAGAATAAGTCATCCTGAGGAGAAAATGCCACTAGCAGGCCATCCTGGAGTGGCCAATCTTATTTGCAAGGCTGTCTACTGAATCTACAAGACCCAGAGAGCATGCAACCCCCTCACCTGGAGTATCTGAGCAAAAATGCAACCTGAGAAGGCTTCTGGGCATCTGGGAACCTGGCCAGGAGACCTTTTACCTGAGCCCACCCTCCTTTTTGCAAAGCTCTTACAACATTACTTAAATTTAATTTTAGAAAAGAGCTACTCAATTTCAATGACACAAATGGACATTACACCATTAAAAACCCAAAATAAACTATGTTCTAGATGATTAGCTTCTACTTTCCAGCCATATGTTAAGACATGCACACATGCACACACCTGCACTCACACACACGGCTTGTAATTGTAGCTTTTATCAACATACAGAATGTTGGTGTCACCAGGAGGTTCCCTCATGTCCCTTCACAAATTATTTCCCATGTCCACCTATTCATACCCAAGCATGCTCTTTTTTAATTTGGTTATTGATCTATTTAACAGTCTGAAAATCTAAGATGGACCAATTTGGCATGAACTTTGGTACTCCTCTCACCTGAACTGCCGTATATGTTGGGAATTTGTTTCCATTACTGGAGGTGTTCATTACGTATGTATCTCAGCGTGTACCCTCATTGTGTATACAATTGCATAGAAAGGCAACTATCAAAAAAGCTGCTAACAACAATTTTACAGAAATCTTCATACAGAGATGCTTTCATTTTCCTTTGGTAAATACCCAGGAGTAAAACTGCTAGATCTTGGTAGGTGTGAGTATTTCTTTTACACTCTCACTAGCAATGTCGGAGCATTCTGTTTGTTCCCCATGCACATTTGGCACCAAATCTCCTTCTAATTTTAATTCTTCTAATGGGCGTAAAATCATTTAAGCTTCCATCCTGGCAAATTTTCCAAACTAGCAAAAATTTACAAATGTGTAAGGATCAAGTTTGAAGAATGTATTGCTTGAGGAGACTGACACACGTGGCTTTTTTTTTTTTTTCACACATGGCTTTTTTTTTTTTTCTAGAGGTTTATTAGATGGAGATGAAGAAAGAGAAGGAGAGAGTGAGAAATGATAGGGGAAAGAGAGGGAGGATGCCCTGACAGAGACGGGAGAGAGCAGGAAAGCAAGAGAGTAAGAGAGCAAGAGGCCAAGAAAATCACACGTGGCTTTTAAAAGTTACTTTATCTAAACTTGGGCTGTGCTAATATGATCTTGTGAAGGGATGTGGAATGGATTGCCAGACACATTCTTCAGCTTCTAATTCTCTCAACTAGATTACAAGACAATGAAGTTAATGCCCAGAAAACTGCAGCCTAGGAGGCTAGGAGCTTTGTGTTCTGAAGGGTGGACCACGAGCTCTGCCAAACCTGCCTCCTAGAGGGCCATTCCCAAAGTGCTGGCTCAGCCTGCTCCATGGAGTCACAGGTTACCCAGAGAACAGATGCCTGCTCTTCCCTTTTCTAACGTCAACCCATGGGCCCCAGAGATAGAAATTAACCTTTGTGAACATCAACATTGCGCCAAAACCTTTTGGGAAAATTTGTATATTTTTTCTTTAAATTGTCAGAACATCCCGGTCAGTCAGGTACAATCACTTGTTAAAGATGTGAAACAAAGACTCATGGAACTCCAGTAACTTGCCCCCAGACATACATACATACATACATACAGAAATATCTGCACACACACTCGCACGAAGTTGAACTTGGCTCTGCACCCTAGGCCCTACTGTGATGAGCACCTGAACAGTCAGTCCCTTGGGAACTAGATCCAGGAGCAGTGGAGAATGCTGTGTCTCTCCAGTTGAGTCCCTCCTTCCTGCCACCTGCTTCATCCTGTGTCTGTAGTGAGGACAGGACTGGCTCCCTCCACCCATGGGCATGCTCAGTCCAATGGAAATGAGCATAGCCTCCTTCCCTGCAGTCTCTGGCTTTCCTCTGTCGGGAAGGAGCCACCGACTGCCATAACTGCTGCTGCTCCTCACCATCTAGGGCTCTCTGCCCCCTCAATGTTCTCCACTCTCCCTCTTCATCCCCTTCTCAGTACAATGAGGAAGGGAACTGTGTTTTTCCAGCCCGAGTTACCTGTTCCTGAAAAACACTGGCTTGCTCCTCAAATCCTGCTGTTCGGAAATAATCCACGACGTCCATCACAGCCCAGTCTGCAGGATCAGGAGGCCTCCCATTTTCCATGGAACTGCAAGACACAAATCCAAGCTGTCTTGTATGCAGGTGTGCACAGGCTCACTGCCTTGCCTCCAAGGGCTGGTCTGAGCCAGCTCAGTGAGAGCCTGGTGCTCACTTCCCTCAGGGCCTATCCCGGTCTATCCACAAAAGGACTCATGATGTTTCTTCTGTGTCTTGGTTCCCTGTGATCATTACTCACACTGGCACAGCCAATGCTTTCTTAGGAAAGTATCTGACCTTTAATGAAAATGATTCCCACAAGTACTTTGTTTTGAAGCCAGAGACATTTAGAGTGGTGTGGTCATTTTTGATGGGCTATTGCTGAGCATGTCTGCTGTAATTTCAGTCTGAATATGTACTGTACAGTGCAACTCAAAAGCTATTCCCCCATAGAGCATGCTTCCCTGTTGCATTCTGTCTCAGCCCTTATGTCGCTCTAACTACCCAATGAAACTTTACCACTCCTACTCATTCAAGGGTCACCTCTGCTCTAAGGCACTTCCTGGCACCATTAGGGAAGTACTTAAATTAAATTAACCTGCTCTGAGATCCAATACCCCATCCAAATTACCATCATAACACCTCCCATAATAGTTTAAACACTGTTTTTGTTTTTTTTGGACTCAAGTGAGAGATGTGGACCAAAGATACACATGTAACCCTGGGCCAGTTCTCACTGTATTATTCCGAGTGTCAAGCATGTGCTTAAGGAAGTCAGTCAGCACTGTTCAAAGTGAACTACAGTGATTAAGCAGATGAAAATCAGGCATCTGTCTGGTAGGCTCAAGTAACCCTTCTCACTGGGTTCAGAGAGGAGGGACAAAAGTACACTGAGGAAAAAAAAGCAACAGCCTGCAGTGTCTGGGACTGTGCTTCATTTCATACTCACTGCAGGAGTCATCTGTCTATGCCCATCCAATGTAGCTCCCAGAACATCTACCTGATCACATTGTTCCTCTGATTGAAGTCCTTTTTCCTCTTCCTGTGGCAAATTCCTATGAGCTTAACGGAAGTCCTTCAGGGCAAAGACCTCCACCTCTCCAACTAGGAATACATTTAGGAGCAAAAGACAGAGCAACACTTATGTGCCTCCCAGTGTTCTGAGTGGACAATGATCAGCAACACACTCTAGACTTACAGCTGCAAATTACACAAACAGCTAGGAAGGACAGGGACACTGTGCTGTGATATCTTAGACCTAGGACATTTTGGCTAAAGCAAGGTCTAAAAGGCCATCAGAAGTTAACTGTGTAAAGAAGTTGGGTGAAGAGTACTTCAAGCTCTGTGGTAGGAATGAAGTCAGCCAAGGAGCCATTACAATCCTGGAGGCCACACTGAGGAGGGTTCCAGATTTTGCTAAGAGAAGCAGGAAGTTGGCAAATGGCCTTATGGGGAAGAAGTGACCAAGTCAAAGCCACAATCAGAAGAGTATTGAAGAGGAGTGAGAAGGGGAGACAGGGCATGAATGGAAAATACTGCCATCATTTCTGCAGATCAGGGTCTCAGACTAAGTAGTAGCTCTGAGAAAAGAGAGGATCGGGATTAAAGTTCTCAAGGGGTAAAACCAGCATGGCTCAGTGGTGGGCCAGATAGAGAATGAAGGGGTAGATATACCAGGATCCTGAAAGGATGCGGTGTCTTTGTGTCTTTAGTGGGACGGTGCCCCTGGGCTTTTGTCACATCAGGATTCAATGGGTCTTGAACTCAGAGCAGAGGAGGGAGCTGGATGATACATGGGCTTGATGATAACTAAAACCCCCAGCATGGTGAGAAGGCTGTGGTTCTGGAATTAGGCTTCTCAACATTCAGTGCAAGCCCAAAAGATCTTTGCTGTTGTGAGGACAAAATGCCTAGACTTTGAGGGATCCCAGCATATCTTCACACATCTAAATGGCCAGCATCTACACATAATTGTTTCAATCACTCATAGAAAGAACCTAAGTATTCAGTTACAAACAATAACCACTACAACAACACACCAACCAACCAAACACACAAGCCAACCAAATTCTGTTCTTAAAGAAATGGGAGCAGGTGGCAGGCCAACAGACAGGTATTGCTTGTTTTTCAGTGATACTTAATTTGCAAACATTTAGAGCCAATGCTGGTTAGAAGAGTTTCCTCTCCGATTTTAGCCTGAATTTGTAAGCAGTGTGTGCCCATGCCTTAGATTTTCTATCCCTGTGACAAAAAAATATCATGACCAAAAGCAACATGCGGAGGAAAGGGTTCATCTGGCTATTACTTCTATACCACAGTCAGGAAGTCAGGGTAGGACCCAAAGCAGAGCCTTGGAGGAGGGAGGAGCTGCTTACTAGCTCCTTGTGTCTTGTTTAGGTTTGTTTTGGTTTGCGTTAGACCCTGGGACCCACTGCCTAGGATAGTGCCATTTGTAATAGGCCCTCCAACATCAACCATTAACCAAGAAAATGCCCATGGACTTGCCTACAGACTAATCTCAATTATTGTTCCTTCTTCTCAGATAACTCCATCTTGTATCAAGTTGATGAAAACCAAACCAAACCAACAACAAAACAACCATAACAGCCCAGCATTTCTGCATGTACGAGTTTCTACCACGGAGCCAGTGATATGCACTGAGGGCAGGAACTCATTTTCACCCTAGTATTATCAAGCATTAATTCTAATTTTTATACCAATGTGATTTTTCGGGGTAGGGAGGCAGATGATCTATGTGCTGAGCTTCCCCATCATCCTGGTAAAATAAACAAGTATGAGCTGACAATGAGGAATCTCTCCAAGGCTCTGCTTTCCTTCTCTCACTTGGTCATGATGGGCTTGAAGAACGTTTCTTCAGGAGTTTGCCATCCTAACAAATCTGTTAGGTTTTCTAACTGCCTCGCTTCCAGCAATAAGCAGAGTCCCACTGAGCGGACTTTTAAGTGCCTGGGAAATGCCTGAGTCCACACTTCCTGTGGTTTCGTAGTTAACTGCTCGCCTTAAAAAAGTGGCTGTGTGATTGTAGTAAGTGTGCTACAACATGATTTCAGGATGGGAGGCTCTCTGGACTCCTAGCGGGTTGCTGTAACATCATCGCCTCCACCATTCTGAAATGCTTTTGACCATTTGAAATGCTGTAGAAAAAAGGTTGGCAAAATTGCTGGTGATGTGCCACAAATATTGAGCAAGATAGAAGCCTTGAGGATACTTCATGAAAAAAACAAGACTCCTGCCCATTATACATGGTCACTGGCGCAAAAATGTAAACACATCCAACAGACTTTGCCTTGAGAAGAGAAGTTTCCTGAGATTCAGCCATGCAAAAGCCACAGCGGTCACAGTCCAAGAGACCAGGCTTCTTGAGCTGGAGGCCAACCCTGATGTCATCATGTCTTACTTGTTTGGTAGGCATATAGAATGTAATATTTTAGAATCATAGAGCCTTCTGGACTGCTCCTGGGCAGCTCCAGAGAGGGAAATGTGTGAAACTATGAGAGTAAATCTGAAGATGTAAAGGAGACTCCAAGAAGTTGATCAATGTCTCCAGTGAACACGAATGTCTGCCAGGAAGAACTGCAGGGAGAAATACAAACTCTAGGGACGGGCCTTATGGCCTGTACTGGCAAGACTGCCGTGCAGGGCTGCCCGAGCTCCTTCTACCCTGAACACTGCAGACTAGATGTTTGCCCTCCCGGGCTTTGGTCTTACTCTGGTTTCATTCATCTCTATTCTTCAAGTATTTCATTTTTAAACCAGGATGTTTCCCAGGTAATTGTATATTGTAAAAATGCAATTTTTAAGCTATGTTCACAAGGGGTTCATGGGAGCGAGGTTCAGAGGAGACTTTGGGCTTAAACTTTGAACAGTAAGGGAATTGTTAAGAATGAGGTCTTTTTGGCATTTGGCGAGGTGCATCCTGGATTATGAGAAGGCTGTGAGCCTCTGGGAATGAGAGGTGGAGTGCTGAGGTTTGACATGAGGTACACTGGTCCCCAGAGGTTCATGTGTTGAAGCATGAAAAGGTGACTGGTTCATTAGAACTCTACCTTCACCACCGAATGAAACCACTGAAGCCATAATTTGATGGCATTACTGGCAGGTGATTATGCTAAGGGGTGGAGCCTAGTCAGGGGAAGTAGGTCACTGAGGTGGGTACCAGAAAGTTAAATCTTGCCCTGAATCCTTCCTATCTCTACTTAGCTACCACGAATTGACCAACTTTGCCATTGGGCATGCGTGATGCTGTGTCTTACCTGATAGGGACAGTTGACTATTACTAAAGCCACAAAGATACATGAGCCCAACTAGACTCCTCTTCCTTTTAAGTTTGCATCTCTCAGGTATTTGGCATACAAGTAAAAGGCTGGCCAAGGACACTGTGGATAAATATAATCTACATGAATTTTGCAACTCTGTTTTTTTTTTTTTTTTTTGGACCATTACATCTCTCCTTTAATTTAGGAGAGAAAGGGCCTGGTTAATTATTATGGTGATATGTCTGTCACACTACTTTTTTCATAAAACTATTTCAAATGTTAGTTATTTTTACACTCAAAAATGTACTCTAATTGTATTGCCTTTATTTTTAAATCAAATTACCCTACTCCTTGCCCATGTTTTAAAATAGCCTTTGGCTAAAAATAATTTAACTTCAATTCTAATAAATTTATATTGATCTCTTTGCTTATAAAAAACCTAAGAACAAGATATAGCTTTCTCTTCATTTCCCCACCCACTTTATATCAACAAGCAGAGATCTGACTAAAAGCTGACCAAGAAAAAGGAAAAAAATGCCTCAAAAAAGTTCTTGACAGAATATTTTTTCATTTAAAGATATTCAGATAAATAAGGATTCAGTGCATATAGCTGCAGAATAACCAAATGATGAGAGCTCAGGGAAGCAAATAGCTCATCAAACTTTCTGTATACTCTGAGTTCTTTCTCTGAGCATTTAGAGATTTGATTCAAACGTAGCCTTGATCTGAACTGAAATCCAATGGACAAGAGCCTCCACTTCCCCACACGCATGGTTTTGCTTATGTCACTCAA